AAATTATTAATTATTTATTATAATGAAATATATTGATAGATGACTTTTTAGTACATCACATAAAGATATTGCAATATTGTATTTAATATTCGGTTTTATATCAGGTATGACAGCAACAGGTATGTCAGTGATTATTAGAATGGAATTATCAGCAGGTAATGCACAATTCTTACATAATAATAATCATTTATTTAACGTTTTAGTTACTGGACATGCTATTGCCATGATATTTTTATTTGTTATGCCTGTATTAATAGGAGCATTTGGAAATTTCTATTTACCAATAATGATTGGTGCTGTTGATATGGCATTTGCTAGATTAAATAACATTAGTTTCTGAACTTTACCACCTGCATTAGTTTGTATTATTGCATCAGTATTAATTGAGAATGGAGCTGGTACAGGATGAACGGTTAATTTATGGCTGATATTATTTATTATATATATAAATAATATAAAAATATCATTCAATGCATGGACCACCTTATTGTTTATTATAACATATATTATAAAATACTCATTCTTTTACATAAGTTTAGTCAAAAGTTTTATAATAATAGGTATACATGCCTGTATATCATTATTAAATGATATACATCAGAGACTATATATGATAATATATAAAAAGTTTATAAAGAATAATATATATTCTTTATGTTCAAAAAGATATTTTAATGTTAAACCAAAATATAATGATAAATTAAATATAAATTTTAATAAATGATTAGTTGGATTTACAGATGGTGATGGGACTTTTAATATTTATTTTAATCCCACCATCAACAATGTTGATGGGGGAGACCAAAAAGGGAATATTACATTCACATTTAAATTATCTCAAAGTATTTATAATGAACAAATATTACATTTAATTAAGAGAAATTTAGGGGTAGGAACTATAAGTAATGATAAATCTATGTCTAATTATAAAGTTAGAAGACTAAATCATTTAAGAGATGTTATATTACCAATATTTGATGAACATATGTTATTATCTTCTAAATATTATAATTATCTAAAATTTAGAGAATCTTTATTAATATATCTTGATGAAAATATATCTAAAGAAGATAAATTATATTTAATATCTAATATTAAAGAAAAACCAATGCCATATAATTATCAATCACCTATTTGAAATGATTTAAATTATTTAAATATAAAATCAGTAAATGATATTAATAAAATAATGTCTAAAGAATGATTAATAGGTTTTATTGAGGCTAAAGGTAGTTTTTATTTAGTAAAAAAAGGAGAAAATAGAATTGTTCATGCATTTGGTATATCACAAAAATTAGATCCTATTATTATTTATTCATTAAAATATAAACTTCATTTATCATCTTCAATTAGATTTAGAGAAAAACATAATTTTTATATTATTGAATCTACTAATAATAGATCAATTAAATTTATTATTAATTATTTTACAAGTAATAATAATTCTATATTATTTTATGGAGCTAAGAATTTAGAGTTTTCAATATGAAAAAGATCATATATTAAATATAAAGGTAATTATGATAAATTATATGAAATACAAGAACAAATTATAAAATTAAAAATTAAACATAAAATATTAGAACATAAATAAACTTTTATATATAAGGAATAGTCCGAACAATTATGTAAATAATTGATATAATATGAGTATAAATATATATATATATTTATATGTAATTATAAACATATTGCTATCCACCTTTATCATCAATAAGTTCTCATTCAGGACCTAGTGTTGATCTAGCTATATTTGCATTACATTTAACAAGTATATCATCATTATTAGGTGCTATTAACTTTATTGTAACTTTCTTCAACATGAGAACAATCGGTTTACATGTACTTCAAGCACCATTATATGTATGAGCAATATTTATTACAGCTGTATTATTATTATTATCATTACCAGTATTAACAGCTGGTGTTACATTATTATTAATGGATCGTAATTTTAATACAGGTTTCTATGAAACAGCAGCTGGAGGAGACCCAGTATTATATCAACATTTATTCTATAAAATAAATTATTTATTTATAATATTCTTAACATTAGAATATAAACTTTTACCAATAGATTATATTAAATCATCTTTAATTTTATTAAATCAAGTTAAATATTTATCATTATCAAATATATTAGATAATATAAAATTAAATAAAGATAATAATTATAAAGAATTTGATTTTAGAGAATTTAATAAAGAATTTAAAATTAGATTTCCTAATAAACCATTACCATCTAAAGATTTCTTAATTTGATTTTTAGGATTTTTTGAAGGTAACGGATCTTTTATTATTCCTAATAGAAATGATTTATCTATTATTATTAATCAATCTAAAGTTAATTTAAATATATTAAATGATATTAAAACTATATTAAATATAGGTTCTATAAATATAGAATCTAAAAAACATGATATTTATAAATTAGTTATACAAAATAAAAAAGATGTTTATTTAATAATTTTATTAATGAATGGTAATTTAGTATTACCAATTATATCAGCTAAGTTTAATATATTCTTAGCTAATTATAATTTTAAATTAATTAAAAATTTAGAATCTATTATTGTTTTAGATGATAGATTAGTATTACCTAGTTTAACTAATAGTTGAATTTCAGGTTTTTCTGATGCGAAAGCTACATTTAATATTAAATTAATTAATAATAATAAATATCGTATTAATTATATATTAAATGAAAAATATGAAATTAATAAATATATTTTAGAATATATATTATTATTATTTGATGAATCATCTAATTTAAATAAATCTTTAGGAAATATTACACCTCATTCAACATCTAATATATGAGAATTAAAAATAAATGGTTATTTAAATATAATAAATATATTATCATATTTTGATAAATTTAAATTAAAAACTAATAAAATTAATAATTATAATAAAATTAAAGAGGTATTAAATAATAAGTAAAAATTAATAAATAATACCAATTTGGAATAAAGGAAAAGGTTTAACTCAAGTTATTAGAAATTATTAAGCAAATGTTGATTATAAATAAAGACTTAATATATTGAATATATAGTATATATATATACCTTCTTTCTAGTTATTATATAATATTCATTATCATAATTAAATTATTAACAAGAATAATAATGAAATATAATAGCAACATTAGTGGAACGGTCAAAATATCTTTAATACTAGACCGTCAATTTGTTAATAAATTGCTACAGACTGCATCACTAATGGATGAGGATTAATTTTAATTAATACTTGTTTAATGTACAGTCGGAATCTCAAATTTATATAAAATTTGGTTGTAATTATTTACAAAGTTTATATATACATAAGTGAAAAATATATATAAATTAAGATTTGGATTCTTCGGTCAATCGTGGCCAAATTAATATGTAAATATTAATTGTAATTTCGCTATATGCAAGAAGTTATTAATTAATTTAATTTAATAATAATAATTTGCAGATAACCAAAAATAAATTAATAAATAATATTAAAATCCCCCCCCCCCCCACCTTTTAAAGAAAGGTGGGGGGGGGAATATAAATTTACTTAGTAGGAATCTCAGAGACTACACGCGAAATATCCTTAAATAAAAAGGATAAAGACATAGTCCAAATTATATTATTTCCCCCCTTCGACAATGTCGAAGGGGGGGGATTGTTAATAATATAAAAGCACCCAGAAGTTTATATCATTATAATACCAGGTTTTGGTATAATATCACACATTGTTTCAACTTATAGTAAAAAACCAATATTTGGACAAATAGGAATGTTATATGCTATGAGTTCTATTGGTTTATTAGGATTCTTAGTTTGAAGTCAATAATTGGCTTTCCTTATTCGTAAGTTTAAGGTAATAAATTTCACTATATGCTGGAAAGGATATTATCCCAATCAGCAGGAAACCAATAAATATATTTATTTATATTTTAGTAGGATCCTCAGAGACTATATGTGAAAATACTTAATAATAAGTATAAGAGATAGTCCATTAGTTTTAAATATAAAACTAAGCATCACATGTATGTAGTAGGTTTAGATATAGATTCTAGAGCTTACTTTACTTCAGCTACTATGGTTATTGCTGTGCCTACAGGAATTAAAATATTCAGTTGAATTGCAACAATCTATGGTGGAGAAGTAAGATTAGCTGTACCTATGTTATATGCTATAGCATTCTTATTCTTATTTACTATAGGAGGGTTAATAACACTGTCAGCTCTCCATTTAAAGATCACTATATGCTGGAAACTTCTTACAATAATATTACTATTTTTAGTAACAATATATTATTTTGAACAATCAGCAGGAAACCAAAAGATATATTATAAACATATCTTAGTAGGATCCCCAGAGACTATACGTGATCCTCATAACAGATTATATTCTTTTATTATATATCTTAATAAAATAAAGAATGATATCTGTGATAAAATAAAACAATCTTATAGTCTAGAAGAATATACTATGAGAAGATATAGTCCATTAAGCAATAATATTAAAACCTCCCTGTTTACAGGAAGGGATACCTCATCAGTGAGGTATTATAAATTAATAACTCTTAATTCAAATCGTTATTATTCAACATCTAAATATTTAGTTATGAAAATTTATGAGATAATAACGATAAATCTTCAAAGATTAATTAAGAATCATTATTAATTCATTTGCAATTGCAAATGTTAAAATATTCAGCCTCGGTGACTGGTGTGATGCTTTCGAACGCATCTATTGACGTTGCATTCCATGATACAAAGAATTTATTTATAAAAAATAATGATGATTATATTAAAAAGTTTTGAGTTGGTTTATTAGATGGAGATGGAAGTATACAAGTAAATCACTGAAGAAGTACAAATCTCCAATATAGATTAATAATTAAATTAAAAAATAATAGAGGTAATTATAATATGTTACTACTTATTCAAAAAGTAATAGGTGGTAATGTTAAATTAACAAAAGGGGATCAATTTGTTCTTTGAGTAGTTAATGATAAAAAAGAAATTATAAAAATAATTAAAATTTTTGATAATAATCCTTTATTAACTTCTAACAAAAATGCTCAATTAGAATTTTTAAAAGAAAATATAAAAAGAAATGATATAAATTGATATTTTTTAAATAGAAATAATAAATTTGATAATCAAGAAAGAAATCAAAAAATAATTTCTGATTATTTAAAAACTTTTGATAAAAATAAAGATTATACTTATTTTGATATTTGATTTAGCGGATTTTCTGAAGCTAAAAGTTGTTTTTCTATTAGACAAAATTCTAATCATTCATTTTCTATAAGTCAAAAGAATGATAAGTATTTATTAGAATTTATTAAAAACTATTTTAATATTGCTAATAGTATTAGAGTTATTAAAAATAAAAAAGTGGATAATAAGAATATATTTTATTTATTAGAAGTTTATAAAAAAGATATTTTATTAAATATAATTAATCATTTCAATAATAATCCTCTATTAGGTAATAAATATGAATCTTTTAAAAAATTATCATTAATTTTTATAAATAAAAATTAAAATTAATAGGTGTCATGTAGTCATATCACCATTATGAGATTTCATTTTGACCTCCCCCCTCCGACAATGTCGAAGGGGGGATTTAAATTTGAATAATATCACTAATATTTATATAAGTTATATTTCCATAAGTAATATAATTATATATTGCTAACGGTAAAATCTTTACAATGTCAATAGATTAAAAAAACTTAACTTATCCTCCCCCCTATCCTGTTTAAACAGGATAGGGGGTATTAGTAAGTTTATGGATAAATAAAGTTTTATTTTATAATAATTAATTTTTATAAAATTTTTATTATTACTAATATTTTATATTAGTTATTTTAAGTTATATAACTTAAAATATATTAAAGATAATACCGTGATAACCTTAATATATAATATATTAAGGATATTGTAGAGACTAAACGTGATAATAATAGAATTTATTAAGTTAAATAAATTATAAGTTATAGTCCGAACCTTTAAGTAATTAAAGTACTAATATGACCTACTATGTAGTTGGTCACTTTCATTATGTCTTATCTATGGGAGCTATATTCAGTTTAATTGGAGGTTTCTATTACTGAGGTCCAACAATGTTTGGATTAAATTATAATAAAGTTTGAGCTGAAATTCAATTCTGATTATTATTTATCTCAGTTAATGTTATTTTCTTACCTATGCACTTCTTAGGATTAAACGGTATGCCTCGTAGAATATCACAATACCCAGATGCCTTTACAGGTTGAAACTTTGTAAGTAGTATTGGTTCTATTATCTCAGTTATATCATTAATAGCTGGTTTAAAAAGTATATTAATACAATTAGAAAATGGTGAAAATGAAATTGAAGAATTAAAAGTTACACCAGATTTTACAGAATCTAATTTAACAAGAAATGTTCATGTATCAGATTTAGAATTAATATTAAGTCGTCCTGCACAATATCATACATTCACAGAATTACCAATATTAACTAATGAGGCTCATTAGTTTATTTAATTTATTCATTGTTAAAATTCATAACCCCCCTCCCCATCCTGCATAAGCAGGATGGGGAGGGATATTAGTTTATAATCTATTATATTCCTCATTATCAATTAATAATTTATCTTATTATTTTATAAATATAATATATATTTAAAATAGAATATATAATCTCTTCTTTAAAATGAAGAGGTGATAAATGTTTCATCATCCCTCTCCAGCATTCGCTGGAGGGTAAGGGACTTATGTCTCATTTATCACATACATTAATTAACTTATACCTTTTATATTATTCATAAATTTACATAAGATTATAAATTATATTCATTACCCCCTACCTTGGCCCCCTCCAGCAAAGCTGGAGGGGCTAAGAAAGGTAGGGGGTGGTGTATTTTATCAATCAATAAACATTTACATTATTATTATCAATCAATAAACATTTACATTATTATTATCCTCATTATCATAATCATAATAATAAAGCATACATAGTTTATGAGATAATAGCCCTACCCACCTTGGCCCCCTCCAGCAAAGCTGGAGGGGCTTAGAAAGGTGGGTGGGGTTTATATTATTTTATATCATATCACATCTTATTTAATAAGATATCTCATATTATTAAATAAATATTATTAAATATATATATTTATATAATAAGTATAAATAATATATACTATATAATATAGTTATTATAGAAATACTATCCCCCCCCACCACCTTGGCCCCCTCCAGCAAAGCTGGAGGGGCTTTAAAAGGTGGTGGGGGGGGTAAATTAATCTTATTATATATGAGTATTTATTAGGTGTATAATAATATAAGATTAATATATAATATATATATAATATATAATATAAAATTAACATATGTTATATAACATATAATATATAATATAGGGATAAGAGATAATATAGGATTAATAATGTGTAATACTAACCCCATCTGCGGATGCAGATGGGGGTAGGTGATGTTATAAATGGGACATAAGTCCCTTACCCTCCAGCGAATGCTGGAGAGGGATGATGAAACATTTATCACAGTTACATTAATTTATTATACTTTATTACAACTAATAATTTATTAGATGAAATACTAAATTCGTTACATAAGTGTACTTACACCCATTTAAATATATACATATATATAATATATGCATATTATAAGAAATATAAATTATAAATTTAAAATAAATTAATCTAATTAAATTTAAATATAATAGTATAAATAAAAATATATAAATAATATATTTAATATAAATTATATTTGATAAATAACATATACACCCCCCCTTTTCTTATTGAGAAAAAGGGGGGGGGGGATGGATTATTTTATAAACTAATCTATATAATTATTTATAATAATTGTTAACAATATAAAGAAATATTATATTATATAAATATTTATATTTCTAATCTACTTTCTATGCCCTTCCAGCAATGCTGGAGAAGGCTAAGTGGGTGGGTAATTTAAACTATGAATAAATTAATGTAAATCTATAGAATCTTTTAAGTAACCACTAAATAAGATACAGAATACATAAGCTTGTATCATTGATATACCAACTTCTAATATAACAATTAATACAACAGCAATCATTGGAATAATACCTCCAATAAATGAAAATAATGAAATAGACATTAAATTAAATATTAATGAACCTAATATTAACATTAATAAGTGTCCTGATAATCGTTATTTATAATCCATCCCCCCACCTTGGCCCCATCCAGCTATGCTGGAGGAGCAAGGTGGGGGGGAGGAAAATAATATCTTTAATCTTAGATTACTTAATTTGGTCTAAGAACCGGCTTTCCCGGCGACTAGAGTACACCTTACAATAATATAATTATTGAAGAACCGTCTACTCGTTGCTCTTTTACAATATATATATATATAATATATATATTGATTTAGATCCGCGATCACCCATTCATGTTATCATAATCTTTAGTGATATTACCATACCTTGAGTCATTAATCAAGCCAGTTAAAAAGTTTCCTTTAAAACCTTGGTTACTAAAGCTTTAGGGCTTCCCCGGAGTTTGATTCTTTTACGCATTAAAAAAGATTAATAATCTTTTTATTTTACGTTAGCTGATAAACGTAAACCTAATGATATAGCTCTTGAACTATATGATAATGTTTCGATTAATACTAGCATAGGTACTAAAACAATAGGTGTTCCACTAGGAACAAATAATGCGAAGAAACCTGCACCATGTTTAACTAATCCAATAATTGTTATACCAAATCATAAAGTTAAACTTAATGATATTATAGCTATTATTTGTGCTGATATAGCAAATGAATAAGGTATCATTGAGATTAAATTAGCTAATAAAATAAAGTTAAATAATGTAAATATTAATGGGAAGTAATAACCTCCTTTGTTACCTATTTGTGAATTAACCATATTTAATATAGTATCAAATATTGCATTAATAGCTAAACCTCAACGTGTTCAACCTAATTTAACATTTTGTGTTAATAAATAATAACCATAAATGAATGATATAACTAATATAACATAAATAACATAATTAGTTAAACTATATGTTATATTACCATTAATTATTAATAATGGTTTAATTTCGAATTGCTCTAAAGGTGAGTAAATCATTTTTAATATATATATATTACCAACTGATAACACAGGTAAAGATAAAATCGATATAAATTTAATTTATATAGATTATAATTTAACAATAATCATACGTGCAATTAATAATCTTATAATTTCAGGTAAAATATATGTACTAACAACAAATAAAATAATAGAAATAGCTAAGATACCAAAAGTTAATAAATTCATAAAGTAAAAAGGAACTAATTGTGGCATTATAAATAAAAATAAAAAATAAGATAAATAAAATATAATATAAAAGACAATCAGATAGAAGGGACTTGAACCCCTAATGTCTTACTCCCAATGCAAGTACGTTACCAATTACGCTACTATCTGATAATTAAAAGCTTGATTAAATATAAATATTAATAAATAAAAAATAAATAAAAATAATAAAAATAAATATAACAAGACATTAAATTAGAATATAGAGGGAATTGAACCCTAATAGAACGATTTGCAATCGTCAAATATAACCATATATAACTATATTCAGTATATGACAAATGTGGATCGAACACATATAGTAGCATTGGAAGTGCCAAAGTTTACCAGTTAACTTATTGTCACAAATAACCATAGTGAGAATTGAACTCACATACCCACTATGAAGAAGTAGTATCATACCATTAGATCATATGGTCAATGTTCCATTAAAGATTCGAACTTTAAAACTTTCGATTACAAAACGAACGCTAGGCCAATTTAGCTTATGGAACAAATAGTATATTACCTATAGGTAATGAATAATATTTATTATAAAACTATATAGTTTAATGGTTAGAACATTATACTTCTAATATAATAATCTAGGTTCGAATCCTAGTATAGTTATTTATTTTATTAAGTCATTAGATTAATTGGTTAAATCATGATTCTTACACAATCAAAAAATAGGTTCAAATCCTATATGACTTATCTCATACCCCCCACCCTTTTAATTAATATTAAATTAAAATTAAAATATTAAAAAGGGTGGGGGGATATAAAGAATATAGCTTAATTGGTAGAGCCTATGTCTTCAACACATATAGTAATAGTTCGATTCTATTTATTCTTGGCCTTAATAGCTTAATTGGTAGAGCACTCGCTTGAAGCGCGATTAGTCTAAGTTCAATTCTTGGTTTTGGCATTTCGAATAAATCATCTAATGGTAAGATTCCTGACTTTTAATCAGTTTATATAGGTTCGATTCCTATTTTATTCAATTTATTAAAAATTTATATTGAATATTATTTATTATTAATTATTATGTTTAATAATGTTAGAGGTTATATACAACTTCATCCTTTCCACTTAGTTAGCCCATCTCCTTGACCTATATTTTCAGCTTTTAGTTTAATGAACTTAGCTTTATCATTAGGTTTAACAGCTCATGGTTATATTGCTAATAATATTTGAATTTTCTTAAGTATTATTACTGTTTTATATTCAATAGGTTTATGATTAAGAGATGTTTTAGCTGAAAGTACTTTCTTAGGTGATCATACTTTAGCTGTTAAAAGAGGTATTAACCAAGGTTTCTTATTATTTGTTGTTAGTGAAATTATGATATTCGCATCATTATTTTGAGCTTATTTACATTCAGCATTAAATCCAACAATGGAAATAGGTATGAGCTGACCACCTGCTGGAATAGAAGCTATTTCAGCTGATGAATTACCTTTATTAAATACTATTATTTTATTAGCATCAGGTGCAACTATTACATATGCTCACCATGCTATTATTAATGGTAATAGAAAAGGTACAATATTAGGATTTGTTTATTCTACTTTATTAATCTTATTATTCGTTTTCTGTCAAATATTAGAATATAGCTTTGCTGGATTTACTATTTCTGATAGTGTTTATGGTTCAACATTCTTCTCTGCAACTGGTTTACATGGTTTACATATGATTATGCTATTTATTATGTTATTTGTTTGTACTTTAAGAGTTGTTTATTACTCAGTTACAGATAATAGCCATATCGGATTAGAAGTTACTATCCTTTATTTACATGTTTTAGATGTTATTTGATTAGCTATTTATGTTGTTATGTACTGATGAGGAGCTTAATTTATTCATAGTTAATAAAATCTATCCCCCCCCTTCGACATTGTCGAAGGGGGGAGGCCATTATAGATTATCCATCCCCTCTTATGCATATGCATAAGAGGGGGTATGTGTTTTATTTAATTAATAATTGATAACATTTAATTATATTATTATTATCACATAAGTAATTATATTTCCCCCTCCTCTAACAAAGTTAGAGGGGGGAGGCCATTATAAATAATATTACTAACCCACTTTCTTAGAAAGTGGGTGATAAAGGAATTTATATATCTTATATTATCTTATCCATTAATGGATTTATAATCATCTTATAATTTATGAAATTATAAATAGGATATAGATTATATTTAAATATAAATAATATTACTAACCCACTTTCTAAGAAAGTGGGTGGTGAATGAATTTATATATCTTATATTTAGTTTATAGTTAATGAATTTATACCCCCCCTTCGACATTATCGAAGGGGGGGGAGGCCATTATAAATAATATACCTCCCCTCTTCAGAATGAAGAGGGGCTATGTAGTTTATTTAATTAATAATTATTTAATTATATTTTATTTTTTTATTTTTTATTTTTAAATATATTCTACTTCTTCTGTGAAGCAGGAGTGGGTAAATATATTTAAAAGAATATATCACTAATATTTTAAATTATTTAATATAATTAAAATATAATTATATTCATCTTCAAATAAAGATAATATTTAATGATAGATTATATACTCCCCATCTTCTGCATATGCAGAAGATGGGGGGGGGAATGTATTTTAAACAATGAATAAATATAATAATTTTGTTAAATCTCATTCAATAATATTTGATATATATGATGGTCAGATTCCAAATATTATTGTTGGTACAATTAATGAAATTAATAATACTTGTTCACGATATGTACAATCAGCTGTTAATTTAATAAATGGAACTTTAACACCTCCAGTCAATCTATTAGTTAATTTTAATTGATATGATGCGGATAATAAAACTGATATAGCAGCTAATGAACCTAGAATAGGTGCACGAGATATAGCACCAGTTAAACTTAATAATTCACCTATGAAATTAACAGATAAAGGAGCACCTATATTACAGAAACTAATAAATATTAAGTAAAATGATAATACTGGCATATATGTAATTAAACCTTGGTAATAATATATTAAACGATTATGATATCTATCATATAAAATACCTCCAACAATAATAAATAAAGCTGGTGATACAAAACCATGAGCTAATGATAATATAATACTTCCATTTAAACCTAATAAATTATTAGAGAATATACCTAATATACATACAGCCATATGTGATATAGAACTATATGCTATAATAACTTTTAAATCAGTTTGTCTTAATGTTATTATACTTGTATATATTATAGTAATAATAGCAATAATATAAATAACAGGTGTAAATAATACTGAAGCATCAGTTAATGTTGGTAACATTAATCTTATAATACCATAAATAGCTAATTTAAGTAAAATACCAGCTAATAAAATAGAACCAGCTAAAGGACTTTCAGAATGAACAACAGGTAATCAAGTATGTAATGGTACTAATGGTGTTTTAACAGCTATACCAATTGATATAGCTAAAAATAAAATACATTGTAAATCAATAGATAAAACAACTAAACTAGTTGTTTGATAATCAGTTGAACCTAATAAATAATGATATAAAGCTATAGCTAATAACATAAATAATGATGATAATAATGTATATATTAATATATAATCAGCTGCTTTATCTTTATTTGATGCACCATAAATACCAATTAATATAAATAATGGAGCTAATGATGCTTCAAAGAATACATAGAAAGATGTCATATCTTGACACATAAAATTCATTAACATAATTAAACCAGTATATAAAACTAATTCAAAATATAAACTACTATTAATATTATTTCAATTAGATAATATACTAATAGGTAATAAATATAATGTTAATAATATAAGTGTATCAGCAATACCATCAGTTGTATAATAAACACCTAATTCATTTCATGAATATAAAGTTGGTAAAGAGATTAAAATACTAGCAATTAATATAATTTGTTTACTAAGTGAAGGTAATACTTTAAATAAGTATGAACTTACAGCACTTAAAGTAAATATTGAAATAGCATTTAAGATCATAAAATAATTTGTAATAAAATAGAACATTGATATGATTAAAGGGACTTGAACCCTTAACAGATTAGACCTAAACTAATTGCGTTTACCAATTTCGCCATAATCATTAAAACGAATGCAACAGGATTTGAACCTGTGAACCAAATAGGTTGTAATATCTCAAATATTATGCTTTAAACCGCTCAGCCATACATCCATGAAAATTATTAATAATTATTAAACTTACCTAAATTAAAATTTATATAGGTAAGCGGTTATGATGGAATTGGTAGACATAGAATACTTAAGATGTTCTGGATTTATTCCGTATAGGTTCGAATCCTATTAACCGCAATACCCTTGGGAGAGTTCTAATGTTGGTAATTAGAGTTAAACTGTAAATTTAATGTCATAGACTGCGACTGTTCGATTCAGTCCTCTCTCATTCTTTAAAATCCCCCCCCTCCTGTAAATACAGGAGGGGGAGAGATAAGGTAGTTATAGTATAATGGTTATTACATAAGTATGTGGTTCTTAAAATATTGGTTCAATTCCAATTTATTACCCTGTTTTAATAGTTTAATGGTTAAAACGTTTGCCTCATATGCATTTGATATAGGTTCAATTCCTTTTTAAAACATTTTATCTATATAAATAATATTTAGGTAATTAAATAAAGATATTTAAGTTCAAAATAAATATTATCAAATATGCAATTAGCATTAGCAGCAAAATATATTGGAGCAGGTATTGCAACATTAGCTTTAGGTGGAGCAGCCATTGCCATCGCTTTAGTTTTCGTAGCTTTAATTAACGGTACTTCACGTAACCCTTCATTAAGAGCAACATTATTCCCTCAAGCAATTTTAGGATTCGCTTTAGCAGAAGCTTGTGGATTATTTAGCCTTATGATCGCTTTCTTATTATTATATGGAGTTTAATTTAAATATTCATTGTTTTACACACACATTATTATTTAATAATATATACCTTTCCCCCCCCATCATAATATGATGGGGGGGGAGCTATTAGTTATAAATATTTATAATCTCTAGCTTTACTAGAATATTTATATATCCTATTATACATAATAGGACATTATGTTATATTTTATATTCCCTATCATACATGATAGGGGACTAATTTATATATTTAAGATATTATCTCCCCATCATTTTATGATGGGATGAGTTTAAATACAATGTTAATAACTAATATTAGTAAAGGACTATAAATGGCTCATCATCCCTCTCCAGCATTCGCTGGAGGGTAAGGGACTTATGTACCATTTATTATTCTTAAATAAGAAATTATATATCTTTATTATAATTATACTCCCCCCCTACCTTTCTTAGAAAGGTAGGGTATGTTTATTATCTTAATAATTATTATTATCCTCTTTGTTTAAATATTTATAAATCATTATAGATAATAAATTATATACATTTAAAAATACATACCCCATCCTGCATATGCAGGATGGGGGGGGGTGGATATTATTTTATAATTGTTAACTATCTCTATTCAATATATAATATTATATTATAATAAATATTGATAGTATTATATTAAATAATATGATTATATATTTTAATAAAATATTGATATACATTATATAAATATAGGATATAATATAGATCTATACCCGCCCATCATTAATGATTGATTAATGATGGGCGGGGTATTATTATTATCTTTATTGGTTATATTAACCTTCATATTATAATATAATAAAGTATATGATAATTATTTATTATATTATTTTATTTTTAACATATAAGATATTATATATATATAATTACATACCCCATCCTGCATATGCAGGATGGGGGGGTATATAAGTGTTATAATTAAAAATATCTCTTATATTATATATAGTTCATAACGCATATACACTCATCTATTATGGGTGGGATATTAATATTATCTTTATTGTTTATATTAATCTTTATATTATAATATATAAGATATTATACACATATAGATATAATTACATACCCCATCCTGCGTATGTAGGATGGGGGTGGGATATTATTAATAATTGTCAATTATTATTATATAAAATATATAAATGTTATAGAATAACTATTAATTAAAAATATAATATATTTTATAATATATTGGATATAGATATATTATAGAAATTAAACATTTATCCCCGCATACCCTTAATGAATCATTAATGGTATGCGGGGTATATATATTTATAATTAGCTATATTTTATCTTATAAAATAATAAGTATTAACAATGAATATGTAAATAATATTAATAATTATTAATATATTTATAGAATTTAATAATCTAGATGCACCTGTATTACCAAGAACTTTTAATAAACCATTATCAACATTAGTATTTAATAAACCACCTAATTTTAAAGTAGGTCTAATAATTAAATTATTTAATAATTGATCATAATAAATTCTACTATTTAAATAATTATATGTACTATTAGTAAATATTTTATAATAATATTCATAAACAATAACTAAACTAATAGATAATGATAAACCTAATATTAATGGTAATAATTTAACAATAGCTGGTAATGTATATTCAGTTTCTATTCAAGCATTAGTATGAGGTAAACTCATATTTAAATCAAATACAACACTATCACGTCCAAAACCTAAATATATACTATAAATACTTAATATAAACATAGGTATTGCCATTCATAAACTTTCATGAACTTGTGAATATGTATAACGTGAACCATTTGGTATATTATTAAATGTTAAATATGATACTCTTAAACTATAAATAGCTGTTAATGAAGCTGATGCTGTAGCTATATAAAACATTATATAACCACTAATATTATATGAACCATATAATGTTTCGATGATAATATCTTTTGAATAATAACCTGATAAACCAGGTATAGCCATTAATGATAATGATGCTATTAACATTGTTGTATAACTATATGGTGTATATGTTAATAAACCTCCATATTTACGTATATCTTGTGATTCAGAAATATAACTATGTATAATTGAACCAGCAGACATAAATAATAATGCTTTAAAAAATGCATGACAATATAAATGATAAATAGCTAAATCGTAAGCACTAGATCCTATAGCTAACATCATCATTGCCAATTGCTGATATTCTACGATGAATATTGGACCATTTCTTTATTTATTGTCCAAATTTATCTCATTTATTTTTAAATTCTAATCATTTATTTAATTTGATTATATCTTTACTTTCCCTATCAAGACGTAATAAATAAAAATCTTTTATTAATAATAATCTTTCTTTCTTTTCAGATTTAAGTGGATATAAATTAAAATAATTATCTATTAAATTTATTAATTCATTTTTTCTATATATTTGATGTGTAAATGCATTTATTTTTTTAGAACCCATTGTTCTAAGACGTCCACCAAATATTTCTTGTAAAGGTTCTAATATATATTTATCTTTTTGACATACAGTTAAAAATATTTGATCACTTTTTACATTAATATATATAGATCCATCTGAATCAATAAAACCACTGTATCAACCATTATAAAATGTTAAAGGTTTTGGAAATAATAAATTTATATTATATTTAATACATAATTTATTCATTTGTAACATTCTTTTTGGATTTCTTATATTACCATTTATTGCATTTATTATATTAATTAATCCTTTTTTATGATTTAATTGATATTTTAATGCATTGGCATTTGCGATACTGTGAATACTACCTCCAAATTTATGTTTTATTTCATATAATAATGATTTATCTTTTATATCCATAACTATATTTAATCTTGCTGTTCCAGATTTGGATAAATTGAAATAACCATCACCATCTATTACTCCAGCTAATCATTCATGAAATGGATCTGTTGATACATTATTATCATTTCCTATTTCTTCAAATTCTTTTTCTATTTCCTTATATTCTTCTTCTATTATATCATCAATATCTTCTTGTTTATATGACTTAAAGAATATGACTTGGTTATGACCTTCCCCTTCGACATTGTCGAAGGGGGGATTAGAATTCATTTTATTAAAAGTTGATAGGTTATTATTATAAATTAATAAATCTAAATAATTAGTATATAAAAATAAATAAGAATAAATTTCAATAAATATCAAACGTATGGCCTCTGAGATTCCTACTAACTTGCTTTTAATAAATATCTTTCATTTTACTGATAATAAATTATATAAATTTATATACTGTCCATAAAGGAAAAATGAATTAAAAAGATAATTACTAAAGGAACATATTATGTTCCGAGCTTTGGTTATCTGCGAATTAATTATATTATTATATATAACTTTCTCGCACATGGTTTGATTCCTGAATATATATATTATATATATATATCCTCTCTTTATCCTACCCTCCTGCATATGCAGGAGGGAGAGAGAGAAAAGATTATTAATCTTTTCGCGAGCCAATTGACTCATTGTTGACAATGCTATAACTCTTTTTATATCATTTGATGTAATAGCTATTAAACCACTTATTAATGTTGTAACACCACCTAATCATAATATTGTTAATAATATTGATGGTGTATATTCTAAAATAAATGATGATCTAACTAATACAAAAACTCCACTACAAACCATTGTAGCTGCATGTAATAAAGAACTAACAGGTGTAGGCAATTATATATACCGGGTGTTAATCCGGAAATGTGTTGATATTATTTAATAATAGTTTTATTATTCCTCCCCACCTTTCCTCCCTCCAGCAAAGCTGGAAGGGGGTCAAGGTGGGGGAGATAAAGTTAATATACGCAATTATTTACATAATTGTTCGGACTATATCTTCATATATATCATTTACCCCACCCTACTGCATTGGCAGAATGGAGTGATAGTATATATGTTTCACGTGTAGTCTCTGAGGATCCTACTAAAATATAAATAAATATTTATTGGTTTCCTGCTGATTGTCCCTCATCTTAGATTTTTCCTAAATTAAATTAATTAAAAGTGGACTAAGATAATTGTATTATATTATCATATCCCCATCCTGCGTATGCAGGATGGGGGGAGATATTATTTATATAATATGGGATATTCCAGCATATAGTGAAATTTAAGGAGAGACCTGACCACTCCCTCCATGGCTCCTAATAATCAAGCATGTAATCCTAATTGAGCACTTTTGGCAGTTGATGCCAATAATAGTAATAATGCTAATATATTTAATATATATGTATCTATATGTGGAGTCATTAATGATATAGTATCAAAATCTAATGCATGGAATACTGTAATCATTGTACCTAAACAGATAACAAAGAAAGTATCTCCCATACGATTTAATAATACAGCGGATAAAGCATTTTTATTAGCTGCAATACGAGTACTTCAGAATGATATTAATAAATATGAAATAATACCAACGAATTCTCAACCAATGAACATCATTAAATAATTTTCACTTATAACTAAAATAGTCATAAATATAGCAAAAACACTTAAAATCATTAAGAATCTATTACGATTAGGATCATCTTTCATATAATCAATAGCATAAAATAATACTAATAATGTTACAATACCAACAGGTACAATAACAACCATTGATAAACTATCAAGTAAAATACCAAAATTAACATCTAAATCACCAATAGATATTCAAGTACCTAGTGGTATAAGTATATTAATTTCATTAAAATATGTTAAATAATTCATTATATAATATTAGTTATTTTACCTCTTAATTTGTAATAACTTACTAATAAACTTAATCCAATGGCACTTTCAGCACCTGCTAATATTATAATATATAAAGCATATATTGTACCATAAATATCATCATAAGCACCACCAATATAGATTATTTTAACAGTTATTGTTAATAATAATATTTCTATAGCTATTAATAATGTTATAATATTATTTTGACTTACATAAAAAGTTAGTAATGTTGTTAATATTGCTATCATTTCTTTCTTTCTTTTATTTATTTATAAAACTTTAATCCCCTTATATAGTTTATATTTTTTGATAAATTTTATAATGATAACGATGAATAAATTAATTATTAGAATTTGTACCAATATAAAATAATATATTTTCTATTGTTGATATAAATGGTACAATAATAATATAGTAGCTAAAGTAAAATGCTGTTGCATATTGTCCTAATTCTATATAAGGTACTTCTACATGTAATTGTCCTAAATTAGTTAATAATAAGAAATTAAATACAAATAAATAAAATGCAAATTTTGATAATACTTTAAATGTATTACCTCTTATAACTGATCTATCAGTTATTGGTAATATTAATAATATTAATAATGCTGCAAACATAGCTATAACTCCACCTAATTTATCCGGTATTGATCTCAATATTGCATAGAATGGTAGTAGGTATCATTCAGGCACAATTGAGGCAGGAGTCACCATAGGGTTTCCAGGTATATAATTATCACTATGACCTAATGTATTTGGTGAAAAGAATATAAATAAGCTAAATATTAAAATAAATACAAAAACAGTTATAAGGTCTTTAAAGACAAAATAACCATGGAATGGTATTCTATCCATATTACCTGATATACCAACTGGATTAGATGATCCATGTACATGTAATGCCATTAAATGCATTATAACTAATGCAGCTAATATAAATGGTAATAAGAAGTGAATAGCAAAGAATCTTTGTATTGTAGGATTACTTACAGAGCATTGTAATTCAATATATTTCTATATTGATTGGACTATATCTTAATCTATAACCTCCCCTTGACATTGTCAAGGGGAGGTTTTAAATTGAAAATGAATGAAATGATTAATATTTATTAGGTATGTTAATATTATTTTTATATTTAGATATCCTTCTTAAAGTTTTTAAAAATAATAAATATTCTATTTTCTTATATCCTAATAATTTTATAGGATTTTTATCCATAAATGTAATTATATTATTAATTCCTTCAATACTTGTAATTCTTAATTTATAATTATTTATTGAATTAGTAATATTAAAATATATTTTAATAGCTTCAATAATAATTATATCTTTATTTTGAGATATTTCAAAATAAGCAATTATATTATCTTTAGATACTTTATAAGTCCCAAAAGAACTTTTAGCTTCTATAAAACCAATTAATCAAGCTGGGAAATAATCTTTATTAATAATTTCATTAATAGTATAAATAGGAATATTAGAACGTTGATAAGTTTGAATATCTTTATAATAAATTATATTATTTAATAAATTATGTTTAAAATATAAATAATCATAATGTTTTAATGTTAATAAAGGATATTTATCAAATATAGGAATTATTATTTCTTTTAAATGATTTTTATTTCTTATTAAATAAATAGCTAATTCAATTTCAATATTATTACTATTTATTCTTTTTTGAGTTTTAATTATTCCTACTCCTAATAAATCTTTAATTTTATATAAAAGTTTAATATCTCTAATATTTAATTCAATACCTAATTCATATTGTAAATATTTATTTGTTTTTTTAATTTTAATTCATCCATTACTATCAATTAATCCTGATAAATAAGCATAAAATAAATCATTATATATACCATGATTATTTTTAATATATTTATTAGATTTTAATAGATTTTCTGCGTTTAGTCTCTGAATAGCAAAACTTATAAATTTCACTACTGCTGATTGTCCCCATGTTATTATGATTTTTACTATAATTCAAATATGAGAATAGTACATAATTTCAATTAATATAAAAAATATTAAAGAGGATGTTCCAGCATTAAGCAGAATTTTTAATATTATATCACTATAATATGGTCCCTCAAATAATTTAAAACCTCCTCAGATGACATTTAATTTATAAAGTATTTAACTTTATATATTCTTAATTACTTAAGAAATTAGACTATTTCATCATCTATTTTTTAGATGTTGGGCGCTCATGGAAAAATTATTGTTATACTACTCATTTTCTAGTCGTTGAACGTTTATTATTCTTATATTATGTATAAATAATACTTCGCTGCAGATTGTCCTTATAAATAAGGATATCCCTGCAATTCACCCAATTTACATATATATATTTCTATATATAGCCGCTCATCAATTGTAAGAACGGTACAATATCATTACCAATAAATGGTATAGCACTTAATAAATTAGTAATTACTGTTGCTCCTCAATGAGACATTTGTCCATAAACTAAACAATACTTTTATTCGACTGTGCATTAAGCATCATTTCAGATACCCATTAGTGTTCCAGTCTGTCGCGATCATTTATTTAACCGACGATCTTGTTTTACTTTGATCGTTTTCACTAATGTTGCCAATAATTTATATAATTATCAATAATATATTATTATTTACTTTTCTATTATTTTTTCAATAAAAATTACAATAATAGTCTCTTTATATAAAGAGTATTTAGTAGACTATCAAATTTAAAAATATTATCCTGTTAAATCAATTTTTGTATGTGTTTTTAAATTAATTAATGTTGATTTTAATTCTTTATTTGAATTAATTTCTTTAATATTAATAAATGTTATAATATTATTATTATTATCTATATGATTATTATTTAAATAAGGTATAAAAGAATTTGGTACATATATAAATCCTAATTTAATAGCTTTTTGTATAGTTATATAACTACAACATAATATATTAGCTAATTTATTAATATTATTAATATTAAATAATAAATTATTATTTAAAGAAACTTTAATATTATTTTCAATTAAATTATATTTACGATTTAATTGTCATTCTATTAATCTTTGTTTATTTAATTCTGAATAATTATCTTTTATATTTAATAATATTTCATCAGAATGTTTATAACCAAAAGTATTACCAGCTTCTGTTAATATATTATATTTAGGAGCTATTAATGATATATAATTAATTTCTAACATTAATAATTCTTTATTATTATATTTATTAATTTTATCTGGATAATATTCAATAATAGCATAAAAGAAATTATTTAATCCATAATTTTTTATAGATTTCTTAATTAATTTATTACCATTTAAATTATATAAATGATTTCTAAATCTAGTATATAATTTATTAGTTGAACCAGAACCTATATATATATTATGTGTTATTTTATTACCAATTAAATATATACCACTTTTATGTTTAACTTCATTAAAAATATCATTACAAGTTTGAGGATTATCTAAATAATCCCAAACTTTTACAACATTAATTCCCATTTCCTTTAAAATATCATTGGGATTTGTTATATCTTGATTATAATTAATAGATGATTTATGTAAATATCTTTTATGAATTATATTAAATTTATGATTTTTAATATTAGGATTTATTATTTTTAAATTTGATCTTGGGCTATTGTTATTTTTATAACCCATAAATCCTGTAGCTATTGTTAATATAAATATAATTACACCTATTGTTCAAACCATTATTCTTGGTGTACGATAACTACCATAATATAATGCTTTACCAATGTGTAAATATAAACATATAAAGAAGAATGATGCACCATTAGCATGTATATATCTGATTAATCAACCAGCATTAACATCACGCATTATATGTTCTACACTATCGAAAGCTAATTCAATATTTGAACTATAATGCATAGCTAAGAAAAGACCCGAGGCTATTTGTATGATTAAACATAATCCTAGTAAACTTCCAACATTTCATCAATAATTTATTGATGTTGGTTGAGGACTATCTATTAAGTAACTATTTGCTAATGATAAAAAAGCATTTGATTTACGTAATGTCATATTTTATAAATAATATAATATAATTTTAAATAAATTAATAAATTTATTTATGAAGATCTTAATATTTGATATATTACCTATATTTGTAAGATCTCTTTATCACCCCCCCCACCTTTCTTAGCCCCATCCAGCAAAGCTGGACGGGGCCAAGGTGGGGGGGGTTAATGTTAAATTATAAAGTTTATATTACTTCTTTTAATTAAATTATTATATAATCTTTTATAATGTTATCTTATATTATTATATATTTAATGAATATTTATATATTATAAGATTCACCATCCCCCCCCCCTTTCTCATTGAGAAAGGGGGGGGAGGCCATTATCATTAAATATTTTATAAATAAATATTAATATTTATTATATTTATATGATTATAAACATATAATACTACTTCCATATGTTTATACAGATGGGTGGGGGGTGGGTTAATGTTATAAATTAAACATAAGTCTCTTTCCTTACAGTGAAATTGTGAGATATATTATGATATTTATAAGATTAAAATTATAGGTAGACAGTATGATGTAATGGTAACATACAATGCTCATGACATTGTTATTAATAGTTCAAATCTATTTACTGTATAAATTATAGCTCAATGGTAGAGCAGTCCACTCATAATGGATGTATCTTGGTTCAATTCCAAGTAATTTAATAAAAATTATTAATATTTGAGAACATGATGTTGGTTCAGATAAAATGCTATATAGGGATATGACACATGCAAATTATATTTAATATAGTGTTCAGGTGAGTAAAATTTATATTAAAGATAATATAAATCAGATGTAGGTATTAAATAGAATTTAGCCTTAGAACTGTAATTAATAATTAACGTTAAATTAATCACATTGGTAATAATTATCAACATCTATATGATGCAGCAGTGAAGAATATTTGACAATGATCTAACGATTGATCAAGTTACCTATGAGATATGTTATTAAATAATAATAAAAAGAATAACTAAGAATATCGGAATTTATTATAATAATGATATAATAAAGGATAGTTCCAGCTAAAAAATGTGCCAGCAGTTGCGGTTATACATTGGGAGCAAGCATTAATCAAAAAGGCTTAAAGTATCCGTAGTACTATAAAATATATTATTAGAATTTATAAAAATGTTATAAGAATTATAAGAATAGAGATGAAATGCTATGATACTTATAGGACTGCAAAAAGATAACAGTAAATAAATTGACGTTTTGGGATGAAAGCTAAATAAGTGATATGGATTCGATACCCATGTAATCTTAGCTGTAAACTATGAATATTAACTTTTAATTATTAAAATTTTTAAATAATTAAATTAACAAATGAAAATTTAGAATATTCCGCCTGACGAGTACGCTCGCAAGAGTGAAATGCAAGACATTAGACGGTTATAGTAACCAGCAGTGGAATATGTCGTTTAATTGGATAATCCGCCACAAACCTTACCATCTTTTGAATATCTTTAATATTAAATTAAAGAATACAGGTGTTACATCATTGTCGTCAGTTCATGCCGCAAGGTTTAATATTAAGTTATAAAATGAACGTAATCCTTTTAATATTAAATATTATTATTAACAAGTGTTTTATAAGTAAACAGGAAGAGGAGGATGAAGACTAATCCGGATGACCCTTATAAGATGGGCTATAGACGTATTACAATATTATTGACAATAATTTAGATAGAAATATTTATTTAAATTAAAATTTAAGACTTTAATATTATTTTTTTTTATGGATTGTAAACTGTAATTCGTTTACATAAAATAGGAATTGCTAGTAATCGTAAACAATAGTGTTACGGTGAAACTAATAACTATTTCGCACTAACCACTCATCAATAGCTAGAAATTTAAAGTAAAATAGTCTGATTAACATTAGACACTTTGAAACAAATAACCAGCTGTAAGTTGAAATACGGTTCGGCTAGGGGAACCTGGTCGGGATTTATTATTATTAATTATTCATTGTTTTAGTTTATATCTTAATGGTAAAGAGAACGATTGATAATCGTTAGATATAAGTTCGATTCTTATTAAACTAATATATATAAAATATATTTATATTTTTAATATTTAAATATATTATTGAGTTGTTGACTAATCGGTAAGTCCTCTAGGTTTGAGCTAGATCTATGTATGTTCGAATCATGCCAACTCACTTGTCCTAATAGCTTAATTGGTAAAGCTCTTTATTGTCAATGAAGATAATGACAGTTCGAATCTGTTTTAGGTCGCTTAATGGACAATTCGGCATTGGCAGGCCAATCTATTTGCTATATAGTAATATCTTTATTCTTAGTGTTCGAATCACTAATTGTCCGTTTTAATTAGATCATAATATAATGGTTAATATGTTACACTACGAATGTTTTTATATAGGTTCGAATCCTATTGATCTATATGCTTATTATTGCATTTTTATCTTTCTTAGTTTTTTCCACTTATTTCTCTCCTTTACTTATTAATCGTATAAATTTATTATTATTAATATTTATTACATTCATCTTTAATTCATCTTATACTTTATTTTCTATTAATGATGGTATAAGTATTTATAATGATTGATTCTTTATTAATAATTCTAATTTATATTTTATTAATATTATATTAATAACTGTTATATTATTATTAACATATAATTCATTTTATAAATCAAATAATATATACTTTTCATTAATTATATTAGCTAATACATTAGGTTTAATATTATTTCCATTAATTAACGATATATTATCATTATATATTTTAATTGAATTACAAAGTTATTCATTATATATATTAACTGGTATTAATAATAAATCATTTAATTCATCAAGAGCTGCATTATTATATTTTTTAATGGGTGGTATAGCATCATGTTTAATATTATTAGCTTCATATTTTATTTATGAATCATTAGGTACAACTAATTTATCAGAAATTTGAACATTAAGTTATTATATTGATATATCATTATTTAATTATATATTAATAATAGCATTATTATTCAAAATGGGATTAGCACCATTACATAGATGAAGTATAGCTGTGTATAATTATGCACCAACTTATATAACTGCTTATATAAGTATAGTTGCTAAAATATCAATAATATCATTTATATTTACATGAACAAATAATTTAGATTTAAGTATTATGTATATATTCTTTATATCATCATTAGTTATAGGTGCTTATAAACCATTATATCAAGTTAATATTAAAACTATATTAGCTTATAGTGGTTTATTAAACTTCTCTTACTTATTATTATCTATAATTATTAATTCTGAAATATCTTCTATTGGTTTTTATTTATATTTATCACAATATGTTATAACACATATATTAATATTCTTAATAATATTAACAGCTAGTTATTATATAACATCACCAATATCAGAATGATCACCATTGACATTTATACATCAATTAAACTTTCCTAATAAAGCATTATCAGGATGTTTAATAATAGCATTATTTTCATTAATAGGATTACCTCCACTGCCAGGATTCTATGCTAAATTATTAATATTTACAAGTGCATTAAGTGCTAATTATATATTTGAATCATTATTAATAATATTCTTTAGTGTAATAGCAACTTATTATTATGCAAATATAATAAAAATATTAATGAAAAATCCAGTTGCAACAATAAATAATATATCACCAGTATTAGCTTATATAATAAGTTATATATCAATGTTATTATTATTTATATTTGTATATTTAGATACATTATTACAGGGACTTTATTTATTTATAATATAATGTTCGTTTATTATTTATATTTAGCACCTATTGTAGCATTAGTATTAATATTAATTAATGTAGTATTAGCAACAAGTAATTCATATGTTGAAAAAGATGGTCCTTTTGAATGTGGATTCACATCATATTTACAATCACGTTCAGCTTTTAGTGTTGCATTTATATTAATAGCTATATTATTTTTACCTTTTGATTTAGAAATATCATCAATATTACCATTTGTTGTTAGTGCATATAACAATAATATTTATGGTTTATCAATATTAGTTATATTCTTATCATCATTAGTAATAGCATTTGTATTTGAAATAAATTTAGGAGCATTAAATTTAGATAGACAATACAAACCTATAATAAAACCATTAATAACAAAACTATATATTCATTGTTAACTTAACCATCCCCCCCCCTCCTGTATATACAGGAGGGGGGGGTAAGGTATCTCTATAATATATTTATATTATACATCATATAATAATAATAAATATTAATATTTATGTTATAAATATTATATAATATAATCAATATTTAGAAAATAATATAAGATTATAAATAATACTTCCCCCCCTGCATTTGCAGGGGGGAGTAAGGTATTTTTATTTTATAATATATTTATGAATAATACATAATATAATAATATTATGAATATTTATATTTACCCCCTATAATATAGGGGGTATATGGTTATATATTAATATAATAAATATATGATAATTATTCTAGATGAGATAATACACCTCCCCCCTCCTGTATATACAGGAGGGGGGGGAGTATATTTATAAACATATGATATCTATTATAATTATATTAATAAATTAATAAACCCATAACTAATTTATAAGATATTTCTATCACCCCTTCGACATTATCGAAGGTGGGAAGTCTTTGTAGTATGATGTTAGATAATAATATCCTTAATAAACAATAATTTAATTAATAAATAAAATATTAAAATGTTGAATTAACAAAGAAAATATTAGAATAATTATAAATACACTTCCCCCCCTTGGCCCCCTCCAGCATAGCTGGAGGGGCAAAGAAAGGGGGGGGGAGAGTTTATTATCTATAATCTTATAATATAATTATCAGATAATAATAGATATAACTATTATTAGATAATATAATAATAAATTATAAATACATACTACCCACCCACCTTTCTTTGAAAGGTGGGTGTATTATATATAACCTCCCCCTACAACTTAGTTGTAGGGGGAGGGGATAAATTATTTCATTTATAATTAATAATTTTAATAATTATTATAAATATAAAAGGGTAAGATAACAAAATGATTAATAAGAAATATATAACCCCCTACCTTTCTTTGAAAGGTAGGGGGGAGTATAAGTAATATATTTGATATATGATAAATGAAACATAAGTCCCTATTTCCTTCAGCGAATGCTGAAGTGGGATGTTGTAAGTTTATCATATATCAATTTAATTTATAAATGTAGGTGAATAATTGAAAATAGGTACATGAATAAAATGCTTTATTAGGGAGATAAAATCTTATAATTAATAATGATAAAATAAACAAAATGTTTAATCAGAGTATGAAAATATAAAAAAGAATTAAGTGAATTGAAACATCTTAGTAACTTATAAATAAACCAACAGGGAGTATATGAGTAGTGGCGAACGAAAATATATAAGTTTTAAAGTAATATTATATAATATGAATAAAGATATATCTATATCTAAAACTAAAATAATTATAAAGAGAAAGTACTGAAAAGGAAAAATCGTAAATAGTAAAGTATACAGCAGTCATAGTATGGCGTACCTTTTGTATAATGGGTCAGTTAGTTATATTTATTAGTGAAATAAAAATATTTAAAGTAATCTAAGAATTATCAATCTATAATTAATAAATATAGACCCGAAAACAGACGATCTACACATATCCAATTATATATTAAATATGAATGAATAGGTGTATGTAGCAATATACTCTAAAGAGGTATGTGTTGTAGTGAAAGACAAATCTGGTTTGTAGATAGCTGGTTATAAGCGAAATCTATATTAGTAGAGCCTTAATATCTTCTCCCTTTTTGTAAATACAAAAATAGGGATAAAAATATAAAAACTGGTACAGCACTAATATTTAATAGGGGGGTTAATTAACTTTATCTATTTATATTAAACTCGGAACAGTGTACTATATAATTAAGAGTCAGACTTATTGCGATAAGGTAGTAGGTCGAGAAGGAAACAGCCTAGATTACAATATTAAAAGCCCCAAAATAAATTTAAGTGATATAAATAAATTGTAGATTAATAAATATATTAATTATTTATAATAAATAATAGAGAGACAATCAGTCAGCGGGTTTGACAATAATCAACTGATAACGCACATGTAACAATGCACTGATGGGACATATACAATTGATAAGATATATGGGTCTAAAATTTATGCTTTTAATGTAATAGAGAGGTAGCTTATTATATTATAATAATAAATAATAAAAAAACTGCTGACTTGAGTAACGATAGATAGTATAAGACTATCCTCCAAATCTATAAGGTTTTACTATAAATAAACAGTCTCTAAGTTAATATTAGAAATAATAAAATAATGAGTATAATTAAATAAAAAAATAAATATAAACTGTACTGTAAACCGACACTGGTATAGAATAAAGGAGAATGAGATAACTATGTCAAATGAACTCGGCAAAGAATATCAGATAAAGATATAATAATCGTGCGACTGTTTACCAAAAACACAGCTTATTGCAGATTAGTAATAATTAGTATAATAAGTGACATCTGCTCAGTGTTCATAAATAAATAAAAATTTTATTTTAGAAATTTTAATAATCAATGAATAAACAGCGGTCTTATTTTGAGGATCCTAAGGTAGCGAAATTCATTGTCCAATAATTATGGTCCTGCATGAATGACTTTACGATGCGATAACTGTATCTGACATAGGCTCAGTGAAATAGCAATTGCGGTGAAGATGCCGTATTTCCATAGGTTGACAAAAAGACCCTATGCAGCTTTACTATAACTTGATATTGATTAATATTATATTTATATTCAGTAATTAGATAATCGTATGATATAATTGAGATATCTATTATAAAATAATAAAAATCTTATCTTATATATTCATTTATGGCCTCCTCCATCGACAATGTCGATGGAGGGATATAAATAAATGAATAAGAAACATTGTCAAGTAGTTAGTTTCGATGGGGCGTCGACATCAGCGAAAGCATCTGATGTGTCTAATTAGAATTTATCTATCAAATTATTTAATAATTTATTAGTAATATTAAATACAAAGAGATTATCTGGTGAATAATTAATACACTCATATTTATATGAGTTAATATGTAAAAATAATAGTATAATTGTGTTTAAATAGAAATACAAACAAGTAGATCTAGTACGTAAGTATGGTATAGTGAACAGGTATAATCTTTAGAATAAGAATATCGATAACGGATTAAAGTTACGCTAGGGATAACAGGGTAATACCGTGAGAGAGTTGATATCGTCAACGGTGTTTGCCACCTCGATTAACCAATAGATAGTCGAGTTTAAATGGATTTAATTGCAAGAAAGTCTAAGGTTTTATAAAATACCTCCAATCCCTTTAATATTATCGAAGAGAGAGGTTAAACTATGATAATTTGCAGCGAAATATATTATATACAATAAATTAAGTAATATAAACGTTCAACGACTAGTTATTGAGTAGTATAACAATATATAACCACGAAATTTCCAAAGAATATAAATATTTATATTTTTATGACATAGTCTGATCTATATAGAAATATATAGAAGTAATAATTAAAAAAATTACGATAACAATAATGGTCGTCTAGACTCATCCTCCTGGTAGAAGCAGCTAGGTAGGGTAAGACTGTTCGTCTTTTAAAGAGTCACTTGAGATGGGTTAATTACGACGTGAGTCAGTAATGATTTTATCATCTATGGAATTTAACTTTTATTATAATCTTGAGTGTACGAAAGGATAACAAGATGCCATCCTATAATCAATATGTTTAATTCATATTAGTCAAGATGGTAGATATTACATTTTGAAAGCATCTTAAAAATTAAATACTATAATTCAAAAGTTATATAACATATTATACTAATATGTTATGGTTATTAATTGACAATAATTAATATCCAATTTTATTACTATCATGTACCTCTCAATTATATTCCCCCATCCTCATATATGAGAGTTGGGTATAAGGGATTATAGATTAATTGGTAAATCTCTCGCTTTGCAAGCGAATGTTATCGGTTCAATTCCGATTAATTCCATTTACTTTATAAATAAAAAATTAAAAATTAATTATTATTATTATTATTAAAAATGATTAGATTAGATGTTCCAACACCATGAGCAATGACTTTTCAAGATTCAGCTACTCCTAATATGGAAGGTATAGCTGAATTACATGATCATATCATGTATTATTTAGCTGTTGTTTTAGGTTTAGTATCATATATTTTATATATTGTTGTTAAAGATTTTAAAAATAATACTATATCATATAAATTTTTAAAACATGGACAAACAATAGAAATAATATGAACTATATTCCCCGCAGCTGTATTATTAGTTATAGCATTCCCTAGTTTTATATTATTATATTTATGTGATGAAGTTTTAACACCAGCTATGACTATTAAAGTTATAGGTTTACAATGATATTGAAAATATGAATATTCAGATTTTGTATCAGAAACTGGAGAAACAATAGAATTTGAATCATATGTTATACCAGAAGATATGTTAGAGGAAGGACAATTAAGATTATTAGATACTGATACATCTATTGTTTTACCTGTTGATACACATGTAAGATTTATTGTAACAGCTAATGATGTATTACATAGTTTTGCTGTACCATCATTAGGTATTAAAATTGATGCTACACCAGGTAGATTAAATCAAGTTAGTGCTTTATTACAACGTACAGGTGTATTCTATGGACAATGTAGTGAATTATGTGGAGTTAATCATGGATTAATGCCTATTAAAGTTGAATGTGTTACAATTAATGAATTCATTGAATGATTAGGTGAAGCTGAATAAATTATTCATTGTTTAGGTAAGTTATTATAGCTTAAGGGTAAAGCCATGTACTGTTAATACATTGATCTAGGTTCGATTCCTAGTAATAACGTTTATTTAAAATTAATAATCTCATTCCTCCCTTCTTATATTTATAAGAAGAGGTAAAGATTTATTAATTTACAATTTTATTTTATTTTAACATTATGAACCTTATTAGTGGAATTAGTAGTATATTAGCTATTGGTTTATTATCTCCTGTTCAAAGTATATTATGTATGATTATATTATTTGTTGCAATTGCAATATCTTTATATTCTCAAGGTTTTATATTAATGGGTATATTATATATTATGATATATGTTGGAGCTATAGCTATACTATTTTTATTTATATTATCATTATTAAAAATTGATTATTCTAATAAAAATTCAATTTCTTCATTTATTTTAACTTTTTTAATTATTTTATTTATACCTTTAGATTTATCTTATGAATCTATTGGTATATCAGAAACAGTATTTATTACTTATAATGAACTTATTACTGTTGGTTCATTATTATATACTGATTATGCTTTATTAACTATAATTACTGGTTTAATATTAATATTATCTGTTATAGGGGCTATTAGTATAACTAAATAATATGCAATTTATAGAATTATTATTAATGTTTTTATCAGTTTTATTAGCTGTAGCTTTCTTAACAGTAGCTGAAAGAAAAACATTAGGTTATATGCAAAGAAGAGTAGGTCCTAATGCTGTTGGATATTATGGTACATTAATGGCAATTGCTGATGCAGTTAAATTATTATTAAAAGAAATAATTATACCAACTCATGCAGATAAACTTATATTATTTATAAGTCCTATTATATCATTAGTTTCTGCATTATTATGTTGATCAGTTATACCTTTTGCACCAGGTGTTGTTATATTTGATAGTGAATATGGTATTATTTTATCATTAGCTATTAGTAGTGTTGGTGTATTTGGTACTCTATTAGCTGGTTGATCTGCTAATAGTAAATACTCTTTATTAGGTTCTATACGTTCTACAGCTCAATTAATTAGTTATGAATTAGTTTTAACTACTATTTTCTTATTATGTATTTTAATGAATTCAACTATGAATTTATCAAGATATGTTGAATTACAAGAATCTATATGAATTGGTGTACCATTATTACCATTAGCTATTATATTTTATATCGCCTGTGTTGCTGAATGTGCTAGACCTCCTTTTGATAATGTTGAAGCTGAATCAGAATTAGTTTCTGGACACATGACAGAATATTCATCATCTATTTTTGTTTTATTCTTCTTATCAGAATATGCTTCTATATTATTCTTATCTACAACTACTGCTATATTATTCTTTGGTGGTGGTACTGGTATTATATTAGGTATCAAAGCTAATATATTTGCATTTACTTATATTTGAGTTAGAGCTGCATTACCAAGAGTAAGATATGATAAATTAATTGCTATGTGTTGAGTAATCTTTTTACCATTATTATTTGCATTAGCTATATTTATACCTAGCTTAATCTATATATTAGATGCTAATTTATTCATTGTTATCTTTAATTTATTATTATTTTATATATTTATTATACTTTTTTATAAATTATAATTAATATATAAGTGATATGGTTTATCTATTTTGTTAGATACAATATTACCCCCATTATGTATATTGCATAATGGGGCTATGTATTTTATATTGACTATTAAGTTATGCTGTAAATAAATATATAATTATATAATTAATATATAAGTGATATGATATAGTTTATAACATACATCTACACCCCCCCATCTTGCATATTGCAAGGTGGGGGGTATATTATTTATCATCTATAATTCATTTACAAATGATATGAGATATATACTTTATAACTTTATAACCCCATTATACATACGCATAATGGGTATAGTGAGTATATAATTATAAATAAATATATATTCTATAATAAATATGATAAGGTAATTAATGTGAGATAATATAGAGTATAAAATACATATCCACCTCCTGTTAAAACAGGAGGTGGGATAGCATTAATGTGATAATACAAATGTGGTAAATGGAGTATATATCCCTTCCATCTTCAACGAATGTTGAAGAGGGATTATGAAACATTTACCACCAGTATTATTAATTTTACTACTAATAATTATTTATGTAAATTATTAATTTACTTACAAAAGTGTACTTACACCCTTTTTATATTACCAATATTTCATATATCTATCAATGAAATAGTATGTTAATGATTAGAAAATCAATAATTCAATCTAAATTTTTAATTAAATAATTAACATAGTAAGTAGAGATTATATAACCCATCATGTATGATGGGTATTATAAATATATCACTAATATCTTAGTTATAATTATATACATCATGTATATTATATTATGGATAATATATCTTCTTAATATATATTGCTTATAATATAAAATGTTTATTAACAATAATAAGCAATGGAATGATATCTGGTTTAACATCCCTCTTCAGCATATGCTGAAGTGGAAAGGGACTTATATCCCATCTATCATTCCTCTATCCCACCTCTGGAGGGGGGGGCCAAGGTAATATATTAATTATGTTGTATATTATATCTTCTCATTATTATTAAATATATAATAATATATTACTATTATCTAATATATTATAATATAAGTGATAAATTGATAAAAAATAATAAATGAATATAGGTCTACACCCGATTATTCCTATCTAGCATAGCTAGATGAATAATCGGGTGATGAATGTTCTCATATATTATTATATCTCTAAATATATTATTATAAATAATATGTAATATTATTTATATAAAAATGATATAATATATCATTTATCATTTATAAAAAAATATAGGTATAGTAAAAATATAAAAATTGATTATATTGTGTTT